AGCCATGCTTGCTCCTCCCATTCTCTCGTCCCCTTCCCCCATTTCATAAAATTGAATTTAAACCATACCATTGACCTAGCTAGCCACCTTTGCCTCCTACAGGAAGCAGGGGCCATTCTGCCCCCTTAGGGGGGCAGGGACTATGGCCTATGCTCTGCCTCCCACATGGAGTAGAGCCCATTGGGACTCTGCTTCAGGGGGACCAGGCCCACCTGGGTGCATCACCCCAATAAATGCCTTTCCTTAACTTGGAGACTGTCTGAATGAATTAGAACCCGCATGTCTATTCCTCATTATTTCAGGTAGCACTCCAACATTCTTGAGGTCCACCCTGAACTCATCACCAATGGCTATAGAGAAGGTCTAAGTGAATTCTTTCACCCCCGAACCAGCTCTTCCAACTCTGACCTCAACACAGCCGAAGTAGGGCTTAGGGGGAAAAGTGTATTTCTAAAATGCTTTCATCAAGAAAAAAGAGATAGGGGGCAGATAGGTGGCACAGTGGATAGAGTACTGGCCCTGGATTCAGGAGGACCTGAGTTCAAATCCAGCCTCAGACACATAGCACTTACTAGCTGTGTGACCCTGGGCAAGTCACTTAACCCCATTGCCTAGCCAAAAAAAAAAAAAAAGAGATAGAGCAGATGAATGAATTGGGCAACTAAAAAAAAATTAGAAAACCAACAAATTTTAAAATCTCAAACACCAGAATAGAAATCCTGAAAATCAAAGGAGATATTAACAAAATTGAAGGAAGAAAACTCATTGAATTAATAAATAAAACTAGGGCTGGGGTTTTTTTGGGGGGGTAGAATGGGAAGGGAATTGTTGAAGTTTAGAGGTTAGGGGTGCTGGTGATGCAGTTTAGGGGTTCAGGGACCCCAAAATCACAACACACGGGTCCTGCCCAAAAGAATTCGACCCAAGCCTTCTTTCAGCCAAAGACAAGGTTTATTAGAACATCCATCATATTGGGCAGACTCTTAAGAAGTCTAAACATGGGTAAGCAGTGGCTAGATTATAAGAATCTGAGCATCTTAATGGAGACAAGATGGACCTTATATACAGAAAGACTATGGGAGGGATCTAGGAGTGGCCAAGTAGTCTATGAGGTAATAGAATTCCAGGGACCTGGACCACAAGGCCAAGGGAGAATGGAGAAATGGCCTGGGGCCACAAGGAGGTCCACAATGAAAGGCCAGTTGATGGCATTATAGGCTGGGGGGGAGGGGGAACCGGAGATTTGGCCATGTGGGAAAGTCCAGGGTTTTTCTTTTCTGGGGCCCAGATCCCAACCCCATCACTGGGACCACAAAATCACAAGTGGGTTCTGCCTGAAAGAATTCAACCTGATGGGGTTGGGATCTAGATCCCAGAAAGGAAAAACCCTGTAGTTTTCCACATGGCCACATCTCTGGCATTCCCCTGAGGCTATGGTCCCATCAACTGGTCTTTCATTGTGGCTACACCCAATCTCCCCTCCATAGTCTTGCTTCCCTATGGCCCCAGGCCACTTCCCACCCTTGGTCCCACCTAGGCTCCATTTCCCACCCTTGAGAATTCTATTACCTCATGGACTACCTCCCTATGGCCCCTGGCCATTTCCCACTCTTCTCCATTCTCCCTTGGTCATGAGGGCCAGGTCCCAGGAGTTCTGTTCACCCCAGCTTACTGGCCACTCCCATCCAGATCTCCTTAGACCCCTCCTCCAGTCACCCCAAACTACTTGGCCACTCCTAGATCCTTCCCACAGTCTTTCTGTATATAAGGTCCATCTTGTCTCCACTAAGATGCTTAGATTCTTATAATCTAGCCACTGGTCAGATTCTTATAATCTAGCCACTGTTTACCCATGTTCAGACTCCTTAAGAGTCTGCCCAATATGATGGATGTTCTAATAAACCTTGTCTTTGGCTGAAAGAAGGCTTGTGTCGAATTCTTTCAGACAGGACCCGCATGTTGTAATTTTGGGGTCCCAGCACCTCTGAACCCCTAAACCACATCAAACCCAAGCCTTCTTTCAGCCAAAGGCAAGGTTTATTAGGACATTCGTCATATTGAGCAGACTCTTAAGGAATCTAAGCATTTGTATCGCTAATGCAAGCAGGACAGATCTTAAGAATCTGAGCCTTTGGCTAGACCTTAAGAATCTGAACACTTTAATGGAAACAAAATAGACTTTATATACAGAAAAAGTGTGGGAGGGATCCAGGAATGGCCAAGTAGTCTGGGGTGACTGGAGGAGGCGTTCTAAGAAGGATCTAGATGGGAGTGGTCAGTAAACTGGGGTGAATAGAACCAGGAACTTGGACCACATGGCCTAGGGAGAATGTGAATCTAGATGGGATTAAGGGTGGGAAGTGGCCAGTGGTCACTGGGAGGCAACCCAATTGGGAGATTGGGCATAGCCACATTGAAAGGCCAGGTGAGTAGATTACAGCCTAAGGCAAACACTGGGATTTGGGAAAGTCTGAGGATTTTCCTTTTTGGGGTCCAGATCCCAAAGATATGGTCTTTTTCTTTTAGGGGTTCAGATCCCATCTTCATCAGAATCACAATAAAATAGATAAGCCATTAGCTAACTTAATTTTTAAAATGAAGAAAAACAGATTACCAACTTCAAAAACAAAAAAGGTGAATTCACAACCAATCAAGAAGTAAAAGAAATTATTAGAAGCTATTTTGCCCAGCCAATGAAACTGATAATCCAAATGAAATGGATAAATATTTTCAGACAGCACAGGGAATTTTAAGATTTGTCTTAATCCTCTCCAGTTCTCTTCCTGTCAGGGTCTTAACTCAGAGGTTTGCCACCACTAAGCCTAAAGGGAATTTGTTTATAAAGCCTTTCCTCCAGCGAACTCCTCCAGAGTTCCACCAGAGGGTGGCTTTGTGAGACACCTCACCCTAATTTACAGTGACTATTTAGTACATTTCCCAAATTTTTGTTTTTTTGCAGATGAGACCATATTTAGGCAATAGTCATTTGCCCAATATTCACTAAATAGTTCTGGGATTTGGAGTTGCCTAGGTTGTTGTTGCTGGTTTTTAAAAAATTGTTTAAAATACTCTAATGATTTTGGGTTGGTTTATGCTAGAGAAAGGTACGGAAGCAAATCTATTCCCCAGGGGCCAAATTTGTTGTTTATGCAAGAGAGAAGGTAAAGAAGTAATCAAGACGCCTGGGGGCAAGTTCATTGTCAGACCTTTTCTTATGCAAATCAATTACTCTAAGCCTCACTTTCTTGGTACTCAAGAGGCCTGTCTTTTTACATCTTTTGCTAGGTAAGGAAAGCTCCACTGTAGGCCAGTACTGGAGAATAATAGAATGGTGGGAGGGGGAGTGGTGACTCGTACAGAACTGCGCTTTGGGAAAATCACTACTGGGAGAGTTGAAACAGGCAGAACAATTAGAAGGCTATTGCAATAGTCCTATAGAGAGATGACAAGGATCTGAACTAGAAAGGTGGCCTGAGTGGAGAGATGGGGATTTAGGCTGAGTGGTGGTGTAGAAATAGAAATGACAAGGTTTGTCAAATGTTTGGATACATGGAGTGAGTGAGAGTGAAGGATTGAGTGTGACACTGAGATTGAGAACCTGCAAAACAGGAAGGTCAATGGCACCCTCGATAGAGATAAGGAAGTTAGAAAGACGGCCGGGTTTGGGAAAAAAATAAAGAGCTCTGCTTTGGAGGTCTTAACTCTGAAGTAGCTAAGGGACCCCAGACTCAAGTCATTCACTGGACTTTACAACAGAAGCTGCCATACAGCTCTGAGTACAATTTCCAAAGGAAAGTCTTACATGGACTATTTGCACATCTTTGAGTGTTCAGAAGTTTGTGCAATCCTCACTTCTCAGTGAGAAAGAGCATTTGAATACAGCTGAGTATTTTAATAAGAGAAAATGTGATTAAGGGGGCACCCGGATTTGAACCGGGGACCTCTTGATCTGCAGTCAAATGCTCTACCCCTGAGCTATACCCCCACACACCCTGGGTCAGCTGCTCTTCCTAGTCCATTTGTAGTGACTCACTCCTAAAAGGTTCCACCCATACTGGTTTCTGTGTGCTTAAGCTCCTCCTTTCTTTCTACATTCACTTTTCATCAAACAAAAGACTCCAGGGTAATACAAACAGCTTGGGTCAGTTGGAAAAAAGACTTGGTGCTATCTTCCCCATGATTGCATACTTGACACACCCTGGAAACTACAACCCCAAAGGCTGAAAAGGAAACCAGTCCCATCCTGTATGCAGAAAGCCTACACTTCATAAAAATGAATGGTAATAATCTTCCACTTTTTGACTGAATAAAACTATCAGGAAGACACGATCAGACATTCTTTGGACTAACCCACTGCTTCCCAACATACATACAGAGTACTAGATTTGAATTTGAGCTCTGCTACTGAAGACCTTGGGCAGTCACAACTTCTCAGCTCATTCTTTATTTGTAAATGAGAGAATTGGACTAGTGGTCTTCTAAGCTTCCTCCAGCTCTAAATTTATGATCCTGTGAATTCCAACTCGTCTGCTGAAGGGAAGGCCAGTTCCCAGGAAAGGAGAAATTCCACATTCTTCCCCTTGGGCACCCTTATCTTAAGGAAGCCATCTTTAGAGTCTCTTAGCGCCTGTCTTGTCCTTGATGAACAGGGAGAATAACTTAGGCGTTGTCATCCCATGGGCAAGGGGGCATTGTCACCGCATGGGCAGGCATTGTTTTTCAGTTCTGTTTCAGCCTGAGAAAGAGTATAGAAATGGTGTGAGAACTCTCCCTTATCCTTCCACTTTCTCCCTCTCCACCATCTTAGAGAAGACTAGAGGTCAGGAAATTTCTGGAATTTTTTTCTATTCTATACTTGACTTGCTTATCTAGGAAAAAAAGCCACATCAAAACATTTGGAGCCACAGGTTGCTAAAAATAAAGCAGATTAAAAATCAAAATTTATTTAAATGTATATACTGGGAAATAGGGTAAGAAATGGGGAGAGAGTTTAGCCTGTGCTAAAATAGCGGAAATGCAGTAACTTCTCCAAAGACTGATGTGCGTTGGCGAAGGGCAGGGGTATTTCGGCGATAGCCAAATCTCCCATTGTAACCTCTGATTGTTCTAAGATCTGCATTGTAGCTGTCATGCCCGGTCACCTGCTGAAGGGAGTGCCCTTTGGGGGCAAAGAGAGGATAGTTAACTCTCCTACTTCAGCCAACATCTCATCCTCTCCCTCCTGCACACTACCTCCCCCTCCCCCAATAAGGACAGAATGGGAAGCAAGTAGAGGGGTGCTTGAGTATTTGGAATTAGGGGCAGATGGAGAGTATTTTAAAATGTTCCAAGCTCTTGGAATGAAGCATTAAGGCCTGAGGATCTAAGTACTAGAGATTTTTGGAGGTGAGATAAGAAAGGAAGGGAAAATTACAAATGAATGTAAGGGGGACTGGGCTATCTTAAGCATTCCTAGGTAGCAAGCGCAGGAGTCTTGTTCCTTTAATGGAAGTAAATCTGCATTTCTTCTTTGTTGTCACTGATCAGTTTGACCCTTGGTCAAAAGAACCCATGGGTTCACCTGAAAGAAGGCGGAAGAGTTTCCCTCTACAAAGATAAGATCTGTTCTCTGGATGAATGCCTTTCCCATTGCTGCTGCTTTTGAACCTCCCTCAAGTGAGAAGGATACTACAGGTAGGAGGCAGCATAGTTTTCCAGGTAGGGTGTGGAAAAACCCGAGGGCCTAAATCTAAATGTCTAGGTTTCAGCCATGGCCCTGTTGTAGCATTCCCCCTCTCCTCAACTTGTTTTCTATAGGCTTCCCTTTGCCCAGTGCCACACCCCCTCCCCCTTTTGGAAGGTGAAGAGGCTCTTACCTGCCCCTGCCCAATTTCTCCTGTTCAGATATCTCTGTCCTGGCCCAAAGATCTGGAAGTAATCTACTATCCAGCCATCTTGACTTGTCCCACCATGGGTCTGAGGGGGTAGGGAGTGGGGGGGGGGGGTGGAAAGGAAGTACAGTTGTTACTTCTTCAGTGACAACAATTATTGCTCCTGTCTCCTTGAGGCTGAAAGAGGTCATTAGGGCAGGGCAGGGGCCACTAGGATTTGGACACATTTATTGGGTGCCCGGTTCTTCTTGCCAAGAACTTAAAGCAGGGCATAGTACTTTCCAAACTGCAGATAGCATTGTGATATAAGGGTGTGTGTGCGTGTACATACACACACATACCTGTAACCACATGCACATATATTGAGGAACAAATAAAGATTATGTATGGGTTCAAAAGAGGCGGCTGGATGGCTCAGTGGATAGAACTACAGCTCAGTGGACAGAGGTAGAGTGCTGGCCCTGGAGTCAGGAAGACCCGAGTTCAAATGTGGCTCTAGATACTTACTAGCTGTGTGACTCTGGGCAATTCACTTAACCTCCATTTACCTTAATCCACTGGAAGAGAAAATGGCAAACTACTCCCGTATCTTTGCCAAGAAATCACCTGGTCCAAGGAGGTCAGGAAGAATCAGACACAAATAAATAATAGCAACAACATGGGCTCAAAAAGAAATTTCCCTTAATCCTCATCCTTCCCCCTCCCCAAAGAAATGTACACAGACACACAAATGTGGGAAGCAATGGCATGGAATAGAATTTAGAAAGATCAGCAACTTGGAAACTGTGGACCTACTTGGGATGCATGGTTTCGTTGAGATGAAGCCAGTTAGGTAGTACTTAGTACTGAAGTTAACTAAGAGCTTAGAGAGATGTGTGGACATTTCCCTCTCACCCAGCATTACCTGGAATAGTCCAGAATAATAACAATTGGGAGTCTCCTGATTTTCCATCTTTTTGAAGTCCACCCACCTTTCCTTATACCATCAAGGTCTAGAGCTACAATTATGACGTCACAAGTCACAAGGTGGAGAAGAGACACTCCAGAAGCTACTTTCCCTTTGTTCTGTCTCCTGACTTCATGTCTGCACTGTCTGGAGACTGTGGATGGCCCCCCGGAGAGTCAGGAAAATGACTTCATAAAGAGCTATGCAAACGGTTGGAAAGCTTAATTCGAGAGGAAAAGATCTGTGCCACCTCTTCTGGTTAACCTTTCAGTATGCAAAATAGAACTTCCGAAATTGAGGGATATATAGATATCACTTTTCCCCTAAATTCCTCCTTTCTTCCTGCTCTCACATACTTCCCTACCTAGTTTCAGGTTTTAATTTTGGGGTGGGGGGAGGAGAGAACGAGGAGCGGAGATTTGTAAAATGGTACTGGGTTCTCCTGTCACCCACCTGGGAATTAGAGGAGACGGTGGGGGAGGGGGAGATCGTGGATGTTTAGCTGTGGGAAGTTGGATTATAGGACTTTATTCAATGTTACCTCATCCTGGACAGCTTCTTAGGAGCAGAGAGGGTGGGGTCTGCTTGGGAACAGCGAGGGGAGGAGGACCCCCCAGGAAGACCCGTCCTCCTCTCTGATCTCCGGACCCTCTCACCTGGTCCGTTTTTCGCAACACGGACTGGACCACAGGAGACTGGAAGTAGGAGCGGGCGTGAACGTCCAGCTGTGCGTTATAAGGAGGTAGAGCAGACCAGAGCTTGGGCAAGGTGCGTTCGTAGGAGCTGGCCATGGAGCTCAACGCCACCCCATCTAGGATGAACTCCTTCTCCTGCCGCAGGCAGCGCTCCGACAGCCGCACCATATCAAGCGGGCCACGCACCCGGGCTCCGGTGGAATTCCCTTTGCCAGGACCCTGAACAGTTCCTCACTTTTCAGGCCCTGCCCACATTGTTACGTGATTCCAAAGCCCCTAGCGCCACAAACCTGACCCACCCTGCCCTTGCACCCCGATTCCGGGGTCCTCGGGAGCTGTACGGTTCTCAGCCCCACAGTTTAGGGACAGGCTCTCTGAAAACCTCTTGGTTGCTACAAAAGGCCAGATAGACGAAAAGAGGCAAATGTTTTAGCGATGCTCCAACTAAATCTTGGTCTACCAAGTCTGCCCTTCCCAAGGGAGTGGTAATAAAACCTTGGCCCCCTTTACTGGAAACCTAAATAAACGATTAACTCTGTGCTCCCCAAGAAAACCGAAACTGGAAAGCTCCCTCTAAGGACTCCCATATTCCTACTGGAAGTTTTCCCTTCCTCTTCCAAATGTTGGATTATTTGGATAAATCTGTATTCTTATATACTCAGCATATCAGAGGTAGGAGGAAGGACCTTGTTGAACCTACTCATTTTTACTAACGAAGCGGGATTTAAGAGAGAAGTGGATTCTAGCCCTGGGCCCGTTTCCTCTTCTATAAAATTAGGGGGTAAATCCCAGATGATCCCATATAACTCCCATGACTAGTGCCCACAATCCAAGGCTTTTTATCCAACGGAGTCAATTCAACATGCATTTATAAATTCCTACTAAGCACCAAGGGCAGGGAATACAAAGGCAAATAGAACACCACCGGCCAGAAAGGCTTACTTTAATGGAAAGCCCAGAAATGAGGGTCCCCGGGAAGCTCTTCTCTTCAAATGTAGATTTCATTTTTCCTTAGATTTTCGCTAGTAAGGCATTTCCCACCAGGACAAAAGCCTTAAGAGGGTATTCAAGATTAATTTTTGTTTTTGTCCACATAACCCAAGCAATGCCTTATCACACCCATTATGTCCTTTGAAAATTGATTCAAAAAATGTGGTATGATGACAGGTTCAAGAATGGGTAGATTTCAGATGTAGATTTTTTGGAGAGGAAGGCCAGATGGAAAGATAAGAAATATACTGCTAGGTGCCTAGAGGGCAGATGTGGAGTGAATGAGAAATGCCCAGGTCTCTTCCATTTAAAAAACCCTTCACTTGGCTATGATCCCTTCAAGCTATCATTGTATTTCTTTCCTTTACAGCCAAACTCCTAAAAGCTGGACTCTACATTCATTGCCTCCACCTTAAGCTCTTTATTAGGGACTGTTTTGGGATTTGTTCTTATGTCCCCAAAAGCCTAAACACAATACTGAACACCTGGTAAACACTAAGGCCTATTGATCCTCAGTTTTGAACCTCAATTTAACTTCAAACATCACCACTCAACTGGAAGCACTTTTTCCAAGGTTATCATTTTCTTGGTGGCTAATCGTGTTGGCCTGTACTGTCCTTATCCTCCTTAACCTCTACAGCATTTGGCTCAACCACTCCTCCTATCTCTCCATTTTCTTGATGCTGATTTTTCTCACACTACTTATCTGGCCTACTTCTCATTATCCTTTGCTGGATTATCATCTATATCTCATTCCCTAATCACTGGTATCCCTCAAGGTTCTGTTTCAGAAGACCCCTTTTTTTCTCTACACCTTGTCTTCGTGATCTCATCCCCTTCCAATGGGTTCAATAACCATTTTCCTCACCTCTCCTGTTTCCACATCATGGAGATGGTTAGCTGCCTGTTAGGATATTAATCCATCTCTAAATAGATATCCTACTGAATTAAAAGGAAGTCTAAAGTCATCTCTTAACTCACAGGTCTCCCAGCCTATTTCTGTCTAAAGTTGGGACTTACTGTTGTTCCAGTTAACAAAGGTTTACAATCTCAATCACTTTTTGAGTCCTTCCTTTTCTTCAACCTTCCCAATTACCAAATTCTGTGCACGTATGTCATATTCACACTCACTCTCATCATCTGGATTTGACTCTACCTCTTGGGACTTCCATTCTCTTCACCTTAAGTTGTTAATATATATATTTTTGCTGAGGCAATTAGGGTTAAGTGACTTGCCCAGGGTCAGTATCAAGTGTGAGGCCACATTTGAACTCAGGTCCTCCTGACTCCAAGGCTGGAGCTCTAACCACTGTGCCACCTAGCTGCCCACCCAAGATAATCTTAAAAGCATAGATTTAACCATGTCACTGTTCTGATAAATAACTTTCATCAACCATTTGTTCTAATACAAAAATAAGCAGCCAGGCTCTTAAAAGTCCTTCTGGCTAATTCACATTACTCTTATAAGCATTTTGGGGGGTGGGGGGCAAGGCAATCGGGTTAAGTGACATGCCCAGGGTCACACAGCTAGTATTATGTGTCTGAGGCCGGATTTGCACTCGGGTCCTCCTGACTCCAGGGCTGGTGCTCTATCCACTGCACCACCTAGCTGCCCCATCACATTACTCTTCACAAATAAAAATACTCCAGACCAAACTGGCTTGTCATTCCGTGGTACCCCAGCTTTCACCTCTGGGCCTCTGCAATGCACTCTTCTTTGCAACTACCTTCTGGAACCCCTAGCTTCCTTTAAGACTCACTGCAGGTACTACCCATTAGGCAAATCTTTTCTTAATCCTTATTTTGAATACCTGACTGTAGACAGAATTGGAATTGAACTGCCAAGTTCAAAAATTTTTGAGCAGACAAAAGGTAAAGGAGGGAAGAGGAAGGGGTGCCAGTTTACATTTCTTCAGCAGTGTTGCAAGTTTTGGATGCAAAGTGGATGGCAGTAGGAAGATTCAGCAGCAATTCCTCACTGACTTCCCACTAAGAGCTGTGTGAAAAAAATCAATCTTTCATCTCTTCCTTCTCAACGAGGGAAGTAAGATTTTATCTGTTACTTTACTTCTGTGGTTGTAAGCCTTCTCTTCCTCCATCCCCATCAAAACCCTCTCATTGCAGGATGTCCATTTAGACTGTTAAGAAATTAAGCTCAAATCATATTTAATTTCAGCTGGGTGTTTCAAGGCTTTTCCATGAAGATCTTCACAAAAATAACACCAGGTGGCACAGTGGATAGAGTACTGGCCTTTGAGTCAGGAGGACCTGAGTGCAAATCTGAAATTAGAGACACTTACTAGCTGTGTGACCCTGAGCAAATCACTTAACCCCAACTGCCTCACCAAAAAACAAAATCACCCCAGGGGATGTTCAAGTACACTACTAATCCACTACTGTATACTCTAGGGCCAGCATACTACCAGTGCCCTAACTGAGCAACAGACAAGTTGGTTGGTCAATAAACATTTATTAAGCACCTACTATGTGCCATGCACTGTGCTAAGCACTAGGGATACAAAGGTAAAAGACAGTCCATCCCTGCCCTTGAGCTCAAAATATAATGGATGGAAGACAATATGCAAATAACTATGTACAAATAAGCTATATACCGGATCAATTGAAAATAGGTCCAACCCTCTCCCTTGAAGCATGTATCCACTCATTTATAATAGTGTTAATAGTATAATAGGCTTGAAAAGAATCCCTCTCCTAAATAATCCAGACTGACCTAAACCCCTCAGTCTCTCACAAATCAGTTACACTTTGTCAGTAGATTCTATCTGAAGGCACTTATGTATTTCTAGTTGGTATCCAACTGTTCTATAAATAGCAAACCCAGTATAAAGGAACTAACACTATTCTACCACTGGCAACACAACACAATGAAAACCTCAAACTACCAAGTCACTGACCCAGTTTACAGATGAAGAAACTGAGGCAAATGGGGTTAAGTGACTTGCCATGGGTCTTACAGCTAATAAGTGTCTGAGGCCAGATTTGTACTCAAGAAGAAGACTCCTGACTCCAGGCCAGGTAATCTATGGACTTCACCACCTAGCTACTCCTAAGATTACAAATCAGATCACATTTTGTTCATCAGGCTAATCAAAGGACAATGCTCTAATATATCACTGCCACATCGGAGCAGACTGAATCAACCCCAAGTGGATGGTTCTACTTTAGGATAACAAATGCTTTACCACAGGTGGGTCAACTCCAAATTGTTAAAACAAGAAAAACACAGGCTAGTTTTCAGATATCAATGGCTCTGAAAAAAATCAGGGCAAAAAATACATAAGGCAAGAAAGCAAATATACAGCCAGACACTTTAATGAGGCATTTTTTTACAAATAGGCTTTAGGAGAATCAAGCAATGCTGCCGGCATTAGATGCAATTCTGGGCCACAAGTCAGCACACTCCTTGGCAACAGGCCCCGTGATGGCTGAACCTACAAAAAAGAGAAGGGGGAAAAGCAAAAGCTGAACAGGGTACTATTTTTTGAAGGAACCAACCTCCCAACCACAGAAGAAACCAAAATTACTACCTTTCATCTCGCCTTTGTTGTTTACTATGACCCCTGCATTGTCTTCAAAATACAGGAACACACCATCTTTTCTCCGATAAGACTTCCGTTGCCGTATTACCACTGCTGGATGAACTACAGAGGAAAAGTAAGGTCAACAACAAATGCATCACTATAGGTACATTAGAGAACATGGGAGGAAATATGGACATTCCTTTACCTGGTCTCCCATACTTGCCTCAACTACATATTAAAAATAAGGTTTAAAGATACTTGGGAGTCTCAACCAGAGTTCAATGCTCTTATCTTTAGCAACAAATACCCTTCATAGATTAAAAATTTAGAATTGTAAAGGACCCTAGAGATCATCTAAGCTCAACCTCTAAAGAGGATCTATAAAGGTAAAGTTACTTCCCCATAATCACACAGGCACTGAGTAGCAGAGGTGGGCTTTGAATGCAGGCTCTGACTCCAAATGCAGTGCTTTCCCTTATACCATGCTGCTTGTCTGCTGGTTCTCAAAACCTGTAAACTGAACAAGTCTCCTCTGACTTAAGACTAATCAATTTTGAAAAACACTTAAGAGCTTTTCTTCAAAACCACCTGAACTCAAGTATAGGAAATACTGCCTCAAATACTCTATTGAAAAACTCCACAGCAATTTTTTTAAACTACTAAGAGAACAGGCTTTCTATCTTTTAGATGCTAACAATACACTTATGGGAAAGACCTAGAGAAAGGTTCTTAGCTGGGGGTCTATGATCTTCCCCCCAAATTTGATAATTTTTAAAAATTTGGCACATAATCCCATGCATTTTATGCATTTAAAAACAGCATTCTCAGAAGGGATCTAATCTGACAAAGGGGTTAATGAGACAAAAGGGCTAAGAATCCCTGAAACTAAAGAACATAGGAGAGAAAATTGTGGACTAGAATAGCCAGGGAAGGTTTCAACAGGTGAGACACAGGGATTGGTAAACTCAGCACCGAGGGCCAAATCTGTCTCACCAGGTAACAATGATTTTTACATTTTAAAATACAATAAAACTTTAAATGTAAAAAACTGAAACAAAAAAACATTCTTAGCGTGGGGGCAATAAAGGCAGTTTTGCCAAACCATGCTCTAACACAGATTCTGCAGACCTGTCACACCACTGATTGAGACCAACAGCACATTCAGCTGTCACCTCACCCAAAAGCGATGGCTCTGTTATATTCTGCCCTTTTGGGACGACTTCCCAGGTCACTGAAGAGACCCATAAAGTGCTTTCGAAAGGGAATACAGCTTTACCTACTTCTCCATAAGACCTTGACCCAAGTAAGGTAATAAATATCCAGGCATCCTGGGAAACAAGGCTTTGAAACTAACCTAAACTCCAAAATCAGACAAAATCTTGTTATTCCTGCATATATAAATCACAGTCTTTTAGAATGGATCTCAGAAACCCTTATTTTACATATAACTCATTACTACTTCAGGATATGTATATACAATATGCTCTCCCTACACAAGATTCCTATGATGTATACTTCATAGTGCAGGTACTGTCATCCATACTATGAACAGGTTCAGAGAGAAGTCAAAACCACCTAGATGATTGTGGAAAGGCCAGAACAAAAACCCATTCGTTAAATGAAGCAAAATTAACACCATGATGCTTCAGGGTGGGCTTAAATAAAATACCTTATGATGCTGTCAACCAGTTCATTCTCTTTCAGGGCACATAATTATTACTGAGATCACTACCAGTGGGATCTGTATATTTCTCTTTCTCTCTCTCTCTTTTTTTAAGGCAATTGGGGTTAAGTGGCTTGCCCAGGATCATACTGCTAGTAAGTGTCAAGTGCTTGGTCTGAGGCTGGATTTGAACTCAGGTCCTCCTGACTTCAGGACCAGTGCTCTATCCACTGTGCCACTTAGTTGCCCCGTTCTGTATATTTCTCAATAGAAATTCAAGGCTTCTTTTTCTCCTGTATCCACCCTTCTTTCATAGTGTCCCCATCTTAAATGTGGACATTACCCTGCTAAAGGGGTGCAGAGTCCACCAAGGTAAGCCACTGTTGAGCAGATGCCGAGGCCTAACACTCTAGACATAAGGCTTCAGGACCACAGCATCTGATACAATTGAAATTCTTAACAAGGGATCATATACAGAGTAGGTCTTTCAATTCTCACCAAGAGAATGAAGGGAAGACTCTTTTCCCTCTACTCACCCTTCTTCCGGAGCTCTGGTTTCCCCTTTTTGACTGTGGCCATTACCATGTCACCCACACCAGCTGCAGGAAGCCTGTTCAATCTCCCCTTAATCCCTTTCACAGAGATGATGTACAGGTTCTTGGCACCTATAAGGAAAAGAACTATAGCAGTGCTTTTTTTCATCATAAATGGCTACCAGCCTCCACAAGACATTTATTCTTACCATTCCACTTCTTCATGATGAAGTATACAGTGAACAATGACTGTATGGCTAGATATGTTGTTACACCACCGATTGAAGCCAAACAGCACAAGCTGCCACTTCACCCAAAAGTAGTGTCATTTTGTTTACCCTTTCATGACGACTCTATGGGTCACTGCAAGAAGGCCCACTGAGTGCTTTTTGAAGGGAGGAGTTAAGTACAGCTAGACAGTCAAATGCTTCTCAATACTTTTGGGCATTTACCAGATTACAGTTAAATCCAATGGAAGAATAAGAGCCAAGTGTACTCACCTGTGTTATCAGCACAATTGATGACAGCTCCCACTGGGAGACCCAAGGAAATTCGGAACTTTGCTCCCGAAGACCCACCACGTCCTAGGAAAGATATACAAGAATCAATCCAGGGTCCAAAAAGCCTTTCCCCTAGCTACGTCTTTATTTCTCCTTACAAAATTGCTTTTGCTTCCTAACAACACGACTAATGTGAAAATATGTGTTTAACAGGAACGTATACGTATAGCCAATATCAGACTGGGTGGCGTCTTGGGGAGGGAGGGGGAGAAAAATTTAAAACTCAAAAGCTTATGGAAATGATTACTGATAAATCAAAATAAATTTAAAAACTCTTCTATTAATGTAACCTAAAGCTATATTAGTTCTTTTGGCTGCCATTATCACATTGGTGACTGATGTTGCGTTTGTATTTTTTGGCATATACTATGATCCAGTCAAATTTACCCATCTTGTTTTCTTTTTTATTGCAAATGAAGTGTTTGTTGTTCTTAATCAGACTTTTAGGTCAGAAGGGAACTCAGGAACCATCTTATTCTACAGATAAGTCACTTTCCTATTTGCTGAAAAATTCTCATGGGTATGGTCTTATTCTTGGCTGTAAATGAGGGGGTTGAATAGATGCCCCAAGGCTCCTTTCATCCGTAATTAAGTAATCTTATAATACTTCATCAAACAGATCTACTTCCTGCTTGGGATACTCACCACCTCCTGTACAAGCTTGGTACTGAAGATAAACTACTTGAGAAACTTCAGACTCTTATAAGCAGAATCCTATTCAATTCACCAAGAATTTATTAAACCTGTACCTGTGCTAGGTACTATGGATATAAAGAGAAAAAAAGTAACAGTTCTATTCCTCAAGTTTATATTCAACTGAGGAGAAACAACATGTAAACTGACAACTAAATTGAAATGGCCTCATCATGGAGATATTTGAGCTGAGCCTGGAACGAAGGCAAGAAGCTCAGCTGAGAGTGTATTCCAGCTAATAAGGACCACCTATAAAGAATATAGGAAATTTGAAGAGCAGGTCTAGGGAAGTAAAGCGCATCAGGTGGGGAGAGCTAAGCTGGAATCAACATGAAAAGCGTTCCAAGGGATAAACAGAAGAGTTTGCACTTTTATCCTGGGCCAACAGCAACCCACAGCAGCCTTCTGAGCAGGGGAGTGATAAGGTTAGACCTGTGGTTTAGGAGTAGCAATTTAACAGCTGTGTGAAGGATCAATTGGAAAGGAGAAAAGATAGAAGGCAGGGAGAACAATTAGGACTGCAATGATCAAATGTAGCACGGTGGTCGTGAATGTAGAAGGGATATACCAGCCTCCTCCACAACACAACAAAACCCTGAAAGGGAGTTGCATGAACCCCTCCCCAACCCTTATTTTACAAACAGTTCTCTCCCCTCACAGAAGCCCCAAAACTCCAAGCCTTCATCAATGGGACCTCCCCCTTGGCCTTCTTTACGGACTCCCCGCTCCGGCGGCCACGCCAGGCGAGCCGGGCTAGTCTGCAGCCCAGGCCCCCAAAGCCAGCCCTTGAAAAGATTGCGAGTGCGCCAGAGCCCGGGATCATGTGTCACCGATGTCAGGAACAACCAGCTGAGCCCCTTTTATCACCCCCCACCACCACCTCCGGGGCCTTTCCACTGCCTTCTTTCAGGTCCAGGCCTCTCCCAATCGGGGCCCGGGAGGAGCTAAGAGCGCCCGCTTCTCCATCCGGCGGCTCTCCGGCAGGCCCTGGCCCCGAGAACGACGGATGGTGGCGGATTTCCCAGCCCAGGAAACTCACCTCGCTTAGACATCTTGGCTCCCGGAAAGCAGGAAAGAGAGAGGAAACGCAGAGGACTTCGGGATATGAACTGAGAAGCTCCGCCTCGCCCCTCTTGTCACGTGACCGTGGGCCTGTTCCTTTTTCCCGGGAGGACCGGTCCCCTGTCACGTGACTCTATATAAAAAAAAAAAAGAGCTGGCAGCAAGTGGTGGGGCGGTGCGATGCACTTTGGCGCCCTCTTAAGCCCTGACGGGGAACCTGCAGTTCGGAGCTGGTGCTGTCTTCCTTCTCTTATTTGAGTAACTGGAGGACTAGTGGCTGTGGAATATTGTATTATTGTTCAGTCGTTTTTCAGTCGTGTTCGACTCTTCGTAACCCTTTTTGGGGTTTTCTTGGCAAAGATACTGGAGTGGTTTGCCATTTCCATCTCCAGTTCATTTTACACTCCACGAAACTGAGGCAAACAGGATTAAGTGACATACCCAGGGTCACAATGCTAATGTCGAAATTCAAATTTCAACTCAGGTCTTCTTACTTCTGGCCTGGCACTGCGCCGCCTAGCTCCCCCTATGCTGTATTAATTATACTATGATACTTGTATTTAATTTATATTAATTATACTATATTACAATAAGACGTAAAACAAGAGAATACAAAGAATAAAACAGAAACAACAAAGATAAAAAAAGAAAATTCGATAAAAACCAATCACCCATCAACCGGTTTGAATATACACAACATTAATAACACATTAATAGTAATTCTTTAATCAATATGAAAATCATATAATTACAGGTTAATTAAATTGAAAAGAATTTATCATTTAAATGATTTATTAACATAAGTGTTACATCCTTTCAATTAAATGATATAGCAATTACATATGACCATATATTGATAATTTTCAATGAAATTGCATTATGGTTTTATTATTTATAATTCAATGTTATAATTTCAATTAAATTATTGATATATCATTGTTTATATTATTTTGTGTCGATTAAGAAATTATTTGTATTAATATGCTATTAATATTGTATGTATCTGGTTAATGGGTGATTGGTTTTTACCGAATTTTCTTCCTTTTCTTTTTGCTGTTTCTTCTATTCTTTGTAATCTCCTTTGCTTTATCTTACTGTAACAAAAGGGTGGCTCTTTGGGGCAGGGAAAGGAGAGAGATATATTCAGAAATTAAGAAATGAAAGTGCTTCAAAACACACACAAAAAGATAAAAAATCAGTATTGTGGTGAAAGAGATATAGGGGTTAATTCAATTTAGTTCAACCAGAATTTAATAAGCTTGGTGCTGGAGATAAAAAGACAAAATGGAAAACAATTCCCTCAAGAAGCTTACATTGAACTTTACAGGAAACAATAAGAAGAGACCCAGGAAATGTAGTCTGGGCCTTTTCAGTTCTACTGAGTATCTTACATTATCCCAAATAAGATAGTGTATACGAACCACTTTGCAAATTATACCGTATAAATGTCAGTTATTGTTCTAAACTTTAAGATGGTAATTTATTAATATGAGGGTCGGTGCTTACTCCAGTGGTATAGATACAGCCCACCCCAGCTTAGCCCGTCCACATATCTTAATAGATTTTCATGAATTACCCGTGGTGGAAGGAAATACGGCTACACCTGAGCATTCCCTGTTCCATGATAGGCCATGACAGAGATTATATTTTACTGGCAACTGGTTCATGAACCCAGGGCTCATCACCACTCCCTGTAATACATCGGAGGAGTCAGGTTTGTCCTATACACCGACATGACATAGATAGATAGATAGATAGATAGATAGATATACACACATATATATACATTCACCTACACCTCTCTACTACAGGTAACACAGACTTCTATCAATTGGCTTACAATTGACTCTCCAATACCTTGGGTTACCCTGTTCCAGTTTCCTTGCAGGCTTTGGTATGCTGGGGTACCATTCTTGGAAGTCTGAAGAATTTGGAACTAAAATACTTCGTGATTTTGTATCATTTAAGTAATTTAAAATACACCTTTAAGGGGGCACCCGGAATTGAACCAGGGACCTCTTGATCTGCAGTCAAATGCTCTACCCCTGAGCTATACCCCCTTTGACGTTCAGGTTTATTGTTATCGCTTAACTGGATTATCAGCAAGGCACTTTGCGTATAAAACATTCTCGGTATGTGTAATAAAACTGGCTCCATTTCCTCAGACTCAGAGAAACGACAATTCAATTTTTCAAGCTTCTTTTTTTGTTGTTCTTTCCATTAACTTTGTTTCAGTTATTGTGTATTTTGTTTTCCTTGTTCTGTTTACTTTACAAAATCCAGTTTTTAGCGGAGGATGCCCTTAACGGACAGGTCAAATGCAAAGTAGAGGGAGTTACCACTGGTCTTCCATTGTTGCCCTCTTCTGTGGGGAAGTTCTTCATTTCTAATTTCCACACTACTGGTTTACACATTGGGTTTCATTTCCCTTAGGTGTTAAGGCAGCTGGGAAGTTCTTTGAGTCTTAATTCTATCATACAGCTTTATTTCATTTCCACTAGTGGTGAAAAGTCCAGGACCCAGAACTCTCCCTGAGAAAAATTTTCCAGTGGTAGTTCTGACCCTGGCTCATTGGCATCGCCAATTTTCTTCATTACTCAATTTACTCTTAAAATATAGATAGAGTGTTGAGAACTCTGATCTAGGTCACTATAAATTTATTTATCGACTTTTTTTGGGGGTGTGTGGCAATCTGGGTTAAGTGACTTGCCAGGGTCATACAGCTAGTAAGTGTCAAGTGTTCGAGGCCAACCCTATAAATTTATTGTCCAACTTCAGCCGCCCCTTTCCTGATTATTGAGATCTGTTTGTTCATTTAATTTATTCTTTTTTCTCACAAAAGAGAAAACTTTAACTTGATCCCTCCCCATCTTTTACTTTTGGCACAAGGCCTAAAATTTTACTTTCCCGATATCAAAATAATCAGATGTTACATCTCCAAAATCTTTCTTATCTCAGATGAAGAGATGTTCTTTATAAATTCTGGTGATCTTATCCCTGTTTTGCTCCCTTAGTTATCTAATTAGATCTTTAGGTTTGTCAAACATTAGATTACTATGGTCATTTACTAATGTATATTTCATATCCAATCTATTCCACTGATCAACTGCTCTATTTCTTATCAAGTACCAGATTGTTTTGATGATGACCACTTTGTCATGTAATTTGAAATCTGGTAGTACTAGACTGCCTTCCTTCACTTATCGCCCCCATTGATTCTCTTGATAATCTTGACGTTTTGTTCTTCCAGATGTATTTTGTTATTATTTTTTCTCGATCTATAAAATAATTCTTTGGTAATTAGAGCTTTGCACACAATAAGCAAGCAAGTAATAAAGGATCATCCATCCATCCATTCATATATCCCTCCCTCTAACTCAGAATAATCCCTCCAACTCTTCTGGTACTTATTACCTACTAGTACTACTATTAATATTTTGGCACTTACCCTGATTGGTAGTAATTTGTCTCTCCAGACTGGCCCACATTCTTTATATAGTTCTTGCTTTTGGGTTGTATGGGCTCAATACATAATAGGTGAATAGTTGAGTTACCAAAAGCCATTCCCTTACTTGCTATGTGACCATGGTATGAATTTAGTGTATTTGTTTCAGATTTAGAGGAAGTATGTCAAGTCTTTCCTCATTCTTTTGGTTTAAGTCAATATATTTGTTGCTTCTTAAAAAGAGACAGGCCCTGTATTCAAGTTTGGTGATGTATAGCTCTTTAAGACTTGATGGGCTTGCCTTAATTTTTTCCTCTGCAAAATAGATAAAAAGTAACTCTATATTTAAGGAGATTTACTTGCTCTGAAGCTCAAGTTTTATTTTCTTCGGCAGACAGCATGAGAAACCATTCCTGTCTAGTCCTGGTACAGGACTAGAAAATAGGATTTTATTTTAAAATAAGACTTTATTTTGCTAGTACCCAGAGGAAGAAAGGTGGATGGATTCCATAAGAGAAAACTAGGAAAGTTGTTTGATGAGAATAGTAATGTAATTCCTTATTTATTTTCTTTACAATTTATGAAGCCTTTGTTATCTCAGAAGTTCTCACATGATCCTGAGAGTCAGACAGAATACGCATTTTTATCCTCAATTTACACATATTGGAAATGAAGTTAATGTTTTCAATATCTGTTGTCTTAGGTTTGGGATTTTAAGTCTTGCTTATACATTGTGGAATCTAATGATGTATTATTTTGGGAGGGAGGGAATCTTTCCAGACTAAAACAAAAATAGCACAATACCTTTACAGCTGCAGGAAAGCGATTGTGTCAGATTCCCCAGCAGAGGGGGTATAGCTCAGTGGTAGAGCATTTGACTGCAGATCAAGAAGTCCCCAGTTCAAATCCGGGTGCCCCCTGTGTGGTAACTTTTGCATTTTGGTTGGAAGATTTCAAATTCTACGTCAACCTTCTCAAAAAGCAAACAAAACAAAACAAAAACCACCACCAACAAAAACCAACAAACTAACTCGAAAACCCCAACGCCAACTCCCGACGCGAATGAGAAACCCGACCAAAGATGTGAATTCGACAATCGACTGAAACAGAACAAATGGTCCAAAGGCGGAGTGGAATTGGAATTACTTGTGCAACTCTTCAATTTCGGATGTTACGGCACGAGGCCGGATGCTCCAGATTCCCCACCGCCTGTACTTCTCAGACCAGGGAAGACAGAGCATCCTGCAAAAGCAGAGCAGACCAGATTCCCTGAATTACAGGGCCACACGCATATTTGGATGGACTCAGAGCTGCTGCTACCCGGCTCCTGGACAGGATCGCCGGGGGAGGGGGTTAGGGGCGGTGCTCTGCCAACTATAGGCACTTGCCCCCCCAAAAAAGGCCAGCGTTGTTTTACATTTAATTTACAAATCCCACTCCTTCTCCCTCCTCTTTCACCTAAACCAAGTATGTAGGGCTGCTTTTTGCTCTCCTTTTCCAGGACACTCCACTTTGTCTGCATGTTGGCCTTCTGCGGCCAACATAAATAAATAAATATAAAACAATATCATATAAGATACAAATAAGATATGGACAGAACGTATATCACGTGTGTATAGAAATGTATATGTATGGAAATCTTTATTATAAAATATTATAAGTATATAAATTTTCACGTATATAACCCCTGTTCCAAAACCCATTGGTATGAAACTCTTCTTTTTAGTGAAGATGACATATTCATTAACTTGTGTATATAAAACTATAATATGAAAATGTGTGTGTGTATGTGTGTGTATGTAATGGGCAGCAAAGTGGTGCAATGGATAGAGTACAGGTCCTGTGTCCAGTGTCAGACACTAGCTGTGTGACCCTGGGCAAGTCACTTAACCTTGTTTGCCTCAGTTTCTTCATCTGTAAAATGAGCTGGAGAAGGAAATGGCAAACCACTTCAGTAACTCTGCCAAGAAAACTCCAAATGCGGTCACAAAGAGTAGGACAAGACTGAAACAACTGAACAAAATTGTTTCCCCTACAGAATGTAAGCTCCTTGAGGGCAGGAATTGTTCTTTGCTTGTCTTTGTATCCGACTAGCACTATTGCTCAGCAGGTAGCACGCTGTTAATTGATCTATTCCAGCTTATTTTTCCTTTAGTCTTTATTGTCAGCAGAAGAGTTAGGGGAGAAGGCACATAAGTTCTGGGTCCCTCTCATACTTCCCTATACTTGGCTTTGGAAAAAGACCCAGGGCAGGTAGAGGGAGAAATCCCTAGGTTTCTAGGTAAAGTAATTCTGCAATTCACAAACCTCACCAGGAACATTGTCAAGGGAGATAAAGAGCAACATCTATTAAAGGGTGGGGTTGGTAGTTTGGAGGAATAATTTCTGCCTCCTAAATGATGAGGTCATGGGTTTAAGTCCTTTGGAGATCTTGGGGAGTTGGAAAGCAAAGGCACGTAGGAGAATTATGAATGGGTTTTTTACAAGGCAATTAGCCACTCTAGATTTTCAGTTTCAGAAATCAGGTCCCCACGGTTCTGCTGGCTGTATTGGTTCTCCTTATAGGGTTGAGAGGGTGTTTTTCCTAATAGAATGGGAGGGTATCTGGAGGAGCTTCATTTTTTTTCCCGCCGTTTGGGTGGAAAGTGAAGTAATAAGAATGGAAAGAATGCAGCATCAGAGTCCCATGGGCCGGGTGAGAAATGACAGTCTTGCTCTGGATTTAAAATAACGCGGCTGACCTTTAACCCAGGAAGCATGCTCCACTCCTTCCCTTATTTTTTCCCTTTTTTGGGGGCAAAAAAACAGTAGGAAAAAGTACAGTCATTACTGTGGATTGTTTAGGGTCTCTTGCTTTCCTCTCCTCCTGTATTTCCCCTGGATGATAATAATAACAACCATATAAGCAGTTCATTGCCATCCCAGTATTAGACTGTAGTGATGAGATTAATCAACAGGATTAGTATTTTAATGAATTTGCATTTGATTTATCTGAGTTATTTTTTGTAATGAAATAATTACAACATAGTAATAATACTTTGTCTCTGCATGACACTTTTAACTTTTCCTAGACTATGTAACTTTCACCAAAACTCTATCCCTCCTCATCTACACCTCTTGGCTTCCCTTAAGTCTCAGCTAAAATCCCACCTTCTGCCTTTCCCAGTCTACCTTAATGCTAACGCCTTCCTCCTGAGATGATTTCTAATCTATCTCGTCTATATCTTGTTTGTACTTAGGTGTTTTCAGGTTGTCACACCCATTAGAATGCAAGCTCCTTGAGGGCGGAGACTTTTCTTTAGCTTTCTTTGTATCTTCAGCGCTTAGCACAGTGACTAGCACACAGTAGGGTCTTAATGTGGGTTGACTGATAGAAGACTAATGTCTAATGGGGAGCAGGGGAAACTACACGGCCCTTATCTTCTCTTCCTCATCTGCTACTAAGCAGGGAGCGAGAGGGGTAGGGAGAGTGGGAAGGAAATGGAAGATGGAGGGTGAACTGAGGTTTGGGCTTCGCGGTGGATTTTTGGAGAAGCGCGACCCTCCAAGCCACGGATAATCGGGGAACATAGGCATAGCTTTCTCCTCCCGCAACCCCTGACCCCCTCCGCCCTCCACGCCGTACTGAGTCCGGAATTGAGGGCTTGCTGCAGGCTTGCAAGGTAGCTCAGTACTTCCAAAACCTTTGAACTGGAGGCGGTGCAAGGTCCATGCTTGATTCCCTCCCTCTCCAGGAACAATGCCAAATAGAAAGCTTTTTTCAGGGAGACTCATCCACGGTTAGGGAGCAACGTTCTGCATTCTTTCTTTTTTTTCTTCCCACTTATGGCGTCATTTTAACACTCGGTTCTAGAGACAGGGTCCCAACTAGAATAATAAATAATTCTATAAGAATAAAAGAAAACTACCAAAGGGGGCACCCGGATTTGAACCAGGGACCTCTTGATCTGCAGTCAAATGCTCTACCACTGAGCTATACCCCCACCACCGACTGCTGTTCTGGAAGTAACCCTTTTCAGCCAGAAAAGATGGTCGTTGCTACAGCGGCGGGCGATATGGCGGGGGGGAGGGAAGCCGGAGGTAATCTAGAACCTTGCTTCGCAGGCAGTTCCTGGAGGTCAGGGTGAAGTTCTTGACTGGGCAGAGATCTCGGGCCAGAAGGTGCAAGGTGCACATGCGGTTTGGTTGCAAGGCTGCTAGAGGGGCGTGTCAGGGAGAGATTTCCCTCCCCCTTACCTCTCTCAGCACACCTCAGACCTGGGGGGGGGGAAGAGAGGGAGAGAGGAGAGAGAGAGAGAGAGAGAGAGAGAGAGAGAGAGTCTCCCTGGGGTCGGCGCCCCGCCCCCTTCGGCCCCTCTCCCCTCTCCTGCCCTCCTTCCCAGGGCTCGCCCCCGCGCCCCCACGTGAACGCGCCCCGTGAGCGCGCTCCGCTAGCTCCCCGGCCTCCCCCCAGAGCGCGCCCCCGCGTCGGCGGCGGCCGCGCGCTCCCCGCCCCGGTGCAGCCCCACCTCCCGGCCGTGTTTATTAGGGGAAGCAGGGCGGAGGCGGAGGCCAGTTCCCCAGCTCCAGCCACCGCCACCGCAGCACGGATCCCGCCTGGGAAGCAGGGAAGGGAAGAGGGAGGGAGAAGACCAGGCGAGACCCGAGAGCTTGGGCGCCCCCGGCCCACTCCGCCTGCCACCATGAACCCCAATTGCGCCCGGTGCGGCAAGATCGTGTACCCCACGGAGAAGGTGAACTGTTTGGACAAGGTGAGCAAGCTGCCATTGCCGCCGCCAGGCTGCCCCACTGGGCTGCATCCCAGTGAGCCGGGTGGGGCTCAGGGAGAAGGGCATCCGGAGCCTGGCCCCTGCCTGCAGCCTCCTCTGCGGGGTCTGGAGGAGCCGCCTCCCCCTCCCCCAGCTCGGACAATTTAAGGGGGCGGAGGGGGAACGTGGAGTGCAAGATCTCTGTGGGAATCAGCAGGGAGGGTACCTAGCCTGTCTGGGAGCAGCCCCTGCTCCAGCCACTGGGATTCGGGGTTGGGGGCGGGATACTTCCATTTGTAGGGTATCAGTGGAGGGGGACGTCCATGCCTGTCCAGGGGCCGCCCCGGGAGGCGGTGTGGGCTCCGAGATGCTGAGGCTGGGGGTGGGGAAGGGCTCCAGTTTGCTAAAGGGAGGGGCGGGGGAGCCAGACTGTAGGACTTTCGGGGGACTAGACTTGAACCCCTCATCTCCAGACTCCCCCGGGCCCCGGGAAGGAGCCGCTCCCTCTAGCGCGCTGAGCGCCAAGTAGGCGGAAGCGCCGGATTGGGGGAGGGGGGCGGGGCAGAGAGTGGGGGGCCCCGTTACACTCTCCTCTTTGGGTGTCTGTCCCTCCCCCCAATTTCTTGGCTGTAGGCTGGGGGCCAGCGATGGACACTGAGCACAAGAATGAGCCCATTCGAGTGTTTGTGTGTGAGGGGATCCCTAGATAAGAGCCTCTTTTAAGGACAGACTGAAGCACCACCCCCCTCCACCCCCAGGTTCGGAACTCCCTCTTCTAGACTTCCTCTTAGCCCCAAAGGGTAAAACCGTCAAGTAGTTGCAGCCTGGAGCTAGGGACTGTGGCTAGGCCTTTTGGATGCCCAGTTGAAGTAGATGGGGATGAGTGGAAGAATGGGGTGGGGGGGCGGTTGTCCTCAGGTGGGGTCAGGGAGCTTGGTTGTAGAACAAAGAGTGAACTGATTGTTCAGTAGGTTGCTGGTGGGGCCGGTGTGGGGGCCAGAACTGGCTGAGTTTAAGGGAAACTTAAGAAACTGGGGGGAAAGGTTTTGGGAGAGAAAGTGGTGTTTTGGAAATTCCTTCACACTGGGATAGCCTTTATAAAATCCTCCCTTCCCCCCCCCCCCCAATACTTTAACTTGCTCATCTGATTCCCATTAGTCTGTTTTGGGGATTGGGTGGGGAAGTGGAATGGTTGTGTTTCCAATTCAGGGTTCCTCCCTGCAGTTTTCTGAGTTCTATTGAGGAAATCCAGCATGTCCCCACACTTCCCCCCCCCCCCCCCCGGCCTCCAGGTGGTTTCCCTGGAGCCACGTCCACCTGGCGACCTTGAGAATGTTCCTTTTCCTTTTGTCCTAGTCCCTTCCCTTCGGTTCCTATCTCTTCCCCCTCCCCCTTCCCCTCCTCTCCCTTTTTCAGGCCTGAGTGTTCCGTGTCTTCTCTTTTTCGCTCCAGAACTGTTCTTCGGGGGACTGGGGGAGGGGAGGGGCAGCCGGGGCTGGGCTGGGATTTCCAGGCCAAGTTTGTTCTGGGACTTTGGCTGATTTTTCTTTTGGAAGGCCAGGGATAGCTCACTGGACACTTTGTCTCTTTCTTCCTTCTCTCCTCCCCCTTCCTGCTCTAACTTCCTTGCTGTCCCTGTCCTCCCTGAGTCAGAGGGTGAGGGGGTGAAGTTCTCTTTTCCACCAGAACTTGCCCTTGGAGCTCCAGGGCTGGTGTTACTGTGGTACCCCTGCCAGGGCCTGGAGGGATGGAAGCTGGGAGAAAAGAAATATTGATAGCCTATCTCGACTTCTGCCTAGGAGTGGGGTTAAGGGAGAGAGTCTCTGTACCAGCTCCAATACCTTGGTGAGTGGGTGTCTAAGTTTAGTTTGGACACCCGGAGGGGAGAGTTCTAATGACAGCTCCTGAAGCCCATGGTACCCTAGCCTGGCATTTGGGGGTGTGCCAAGTAGCCTTTAAAGGGATGTAGCTCCCTGGCCCCCTTCCTTCTAGGAATAGGGAACATTCATGAAGGGGGCAGAAAGTAATAAAATATAGTGAAAAGGGCTCTAGTTTTAGGTCAGAGGAACTGGGTTCAAATGCTGCTTCTGACAGTTACTACTATGTGACCTTGGCAAAGGCCTGGCCACCTTCCTGGGGCCTCAGTTTCTTTTATCTGTCAAATGAGGGGGTTGAGCTAGCTGGCCAATAAGGTCCCATCTATAAATCTGCACTTAGTGTACTTGGAGTTGGAGGGTGTATTAGGGAGGGAAGGCAGGAAAGGGGTGCCAGGTCTTTTGAAGATGTGCCCACTTTATACCCCGCTGGGCTGCAAGGTGCTCCTGCTTCCCTGAGCCCAACTCAGCCAGTTTGGAGGAACTAAGAGTTTGAGAAGGAGTCCTTGTTGTTTGGTGAGTGGGAGGGAGGAGAAGTAAGTTCACAAATAGGGGGTCCCAGAAGATGCCCCGTGTTTCTTCTGGCTTATAGGTTGCCCTCCCTTGATGCTCCCTTACCTTGGCTGGAAGAGGAAGTGTAGGTGGGCACTAGGCTTGTGTTTGGGAAGTCCCTTTACCTCTTCCCCATCCCCTGCCCCCTCCCTTTCCTCTATGTGACAGCACACAACTTATAATTTCTCCTTCAGGTCAAAGCTGGCAAAGAGATTCCACCCTCTTACCCCAAGTAGAGGTGGACTTTGAAGAAGACCAGGAGTTGAGTGAACAGTTTAGGGGATCCTGGCTTCCCTAGTACCCAAGTGCAAGCCATTTCCCCCTCCCCACTCCAAGGTGGGTCATTGAATGCAGCTGGACCTGAAAGCTGGCATGGAACAAATAAATGCCCAACTTCAAGCTGTCACAGTTTATGTTTGGGCTTTAACTTTCCATGTCTCCACTTAGTGGAAGATGGGGGAGGTGGCTCGAAAAAAGCCCCGTAGGTTCTCATTTGGGGCAGATGGGAGTCTGTTTAGATGCATCCTTGGTTCTCTCCTTTGCTGTGACATGTAACCCCTAGGAGTGTGCCTTGTACCCAGAGATCCAAGAATAAGATATTTTTAAAAGGGGTGAATTTTTTTTTACTTAACTGTGGGGTAGGTAATTTAGTTAGAGGCAGAGGAAGGGACAGGATGATTTCTGGAGAGGAATACTCTCTTATTTAGGATGTTAGGAAGAAGGCTTGCCTTCCTCTGCCCTGTTTCCTTGACACGTTTGGGAGAACTTGGGGGCTCTGTCCTAGTCCTTAGACCATGGCCAGGAGTGTGGCAGAACTTGTAACAACAGGGGTGGAAGGGACCTTGTACCTCCAGTACTCATTCCCTTTCTTCTCTTCCACCCCCAGCTGGTTCTTCCTTCCTCAGACTCTCTGACTTTAGACTCGAATACTGTGGAAAGCTTAAAAAAGAGAGGCCCAGTTTCTTAAAAGCAAAAATATGAAAAAAGTAGAGGGAAGATTTCCCCCACAACTTTTCCACCAGAGTTAGGAGCCCTTTATCCTTGAGGCCATAGTTGCGAGGGAGTGTCTTCTGGGTAAGGTGCAGAGTAGAGAGAGCAAGAGTTGTTCTTGGGGTTGCCACTAGGCTGAAGTCACTGGGACTTATGTAGGACCAAGAGTTACTTTAAGTATCATTCTCTTTCTTCCCCACACCAAATCCCTTCCCATTTTCTTTAATGTAAGGAGAGTGAGAAGAGGCCTTGTCATTTCCTGAGCCTAGGCCTGGAGAATGGGCTGAGATCTGGGAGACCAGGACATTAATCATTCATTATAATAATTATTGTAGTTACTGGTTGCTTAACAAAAAGGTCTGTTTGGACTAGGTCTCAGTCTTTTCCTTGAAAGCTAAGCCAGATTGGTGACTTTTCCGAGGTTGAAGGCCCTGGAAGGGGAAGGAAAATTTGTTTCCTTGGGGCAATGGGAAGGGGTAGGGCCAGGCCTCCCTCCCTAGCTGTGAGTCATTGCCCAGCCAAAACAGTCTACTAGGTGCAAGGTATGTGGAAAAGGGATTCCACCATCTGGAAACTTAAGAGACCACAGAAGCCTTCTGGAGCAGGCCTTTCTCCCTTCCCCCACATTGCTGCCTATTACTTAGTCCTTTTTTGGTACAAGCAGTTAATGGGGCTCAGAAGAGTTGAGGAGCCCCTGGCAGAAAGGGGAAAGGGAGCAAACATTTATTCATCAACTTCTGTGACAGGCACTGTGCGAGGCACTTTAGAAATATCTTGTTAGGTAAAGCCCAAACAGGCTATACGCGAAGACTTGAGAAGCCCTGAACCTTCCATGTGTCTTTTTTATAGAGTGAGTCCTAGGTAGGGAAGAGGTTGTGGGATGAAGGACTTTCTGTAGACCTCTTGACCATTCACTTTAGCCTGAGGAACAGCATTTAAGTTCCTACCTATGGGAACCAGAAAGAAACAGTGGACTCCATCTGTAGTAAGGAAGGATTTGTGTTAGAGTCTTAGAAGGACTTTGCCCCCTAAGAGTCATGGGACTCTGATATCCTTAAAGACAGGGAAACTGCTTGCTTTCTGAAGACACTTGGGTACTGTACTGCCTGGAGGCAAGGGGATGAGATGGCGATTCTTGTGGGGTCCTGGCCAGTTCCATGACTGTCCTAGGGTCATTCTCTGTCTCTAGCCAGGGAGCAACCTCTGAACCTCTCCCCACTCCACCCCCCTCCAAAATCTGTAACACAGTATCATCCAGGTGGCTGCTGGTTTTCCCTAGTAACATGTTGTCCTTTTCTCAGGTCCCTTTTGGAGGTGTTGAGCAGACCTTGGCCTTGGCCCTAGCCTAACCTCCTTCCTCAAGCCAGATGAACTAAGAGAGGACTCCAGGCTTTTCAGACTCCCATAGGAGATAGGCAAGAGTTAAGCTAGGGGCTTTCAGCAACATCCTCTTAACTGAGTTCAACCCCCTCCTCATCATTTTATTAAAGTGATCCGAAACCTGGTCCTGTCTTCCCTGTCACTAAGTTGGGATGTCAGTGATTTCCATCCCTAGCCTGGTTCCTTCTCCCCTTGTGCCTTCACCATCCTTCTCCCCCTTATTTTCCCTGGAAACAAGTTGTTCTAAACTCCTGGGTGCTCTGCTTAGTGGCTGGACATCCTGGGAGGTAGGGCTGGTGTAGAGAGAACACCTGGGGTGAGGGGGGAGAGGGGAGTCCAGGCCCAAAAGCCCTAGGTCATTGGGTGTTTCTCTGTGTGTGTGAGAAAGTGGGTCACGGTCTGGATTTTGGAGAATGTTTTTCCTGGCAGGCTTGTCTTTGGAGGAGAGGAGGGGCCCCAGGCAGGGGCACTGGCAAAGACCTTCTGACTGGGTGGTGTCAGAATCGGGGCATTGGGCCAATACCTCCCTCTGAGGGGGCTGGAGGGTGGGGGGTGTTGCGAGGGAAGAGGGCGCTCCCATCTCCTGGGGACCAAGTTATAACCTGCCCTGCTTTTTCTTTTCTTTCTTTCTTTCTTTTTTTTGTCCTGGGGAGGTAAAGACGATGGAGAGTAATTTGAATTCTAACATTTATCAGCACCTAGTATATACCAGGCTTTGGGCTAGACCCTGAGGATACAAAAACAAGAATGAAACCAGTCCCTGCCTTCAGGACACTTATAGAATAATTATAATGACCCTAGCTCCCATATCTTTAGAATTTATGACTTACAAAGTATTTTCTCTATGGCTTTGCTCTTTACAAAAGGAGTTGAAGGAGGTAGACTGAGGTGAGACTCTAATGTAGTCATTCAGTTCTTAATTTTTCATTATACCAATAGCTGGGAGACAAAGATAAAAACCTGTCCCTGCCTATCTTTGCTGAGCTCCCATTCTAATGAGGCAGATAACATGTAAATAACTAAATAAATGTGTGTACTTTAGTGGGTGGAAGTTAATCTCTGGAGAGGAAGGCTCCAGCTACTAATGGGGTGGGAAGTAGGTAGGGATGAGGAACAGTTTCTCATAGAAGGTAAGATTAGAACTTATTCTTGAAAGAAGCTGAGGAAACTGAGTCACAGAGGTGAGGAGTAAGGGCATTCTAGCAGATCCTTTGGATCTCAGCGTTATTTTCTGGAGTCCCCCTATTAAAAAGCAAAGACCTGTGGGTATTGAGGGGCGTTTCCATTTACCTTCAGAGTATTAGTTGGCTGCTTGGAGAGTCTCTTGGGAAGGACTCTGGAGGAAGGGGAGCTGTGGTAGCCAGAGTTGGCACACTGAAGGTTTGGCCTTCAGCCCACCTTGGCTTCTGGTAGCTGCTCCTCTTTAGCTAGGATTCTTCCCCCTCCCCCCAGGGAAGAAGGCCACAAAATGTGAGGGGACTGTTTTAGTCCAATCTCCTAAATTAGTTCAACCTTTTCATTTTACAAAGAAGGAAACTGAGGCTCACGGCACAGCAGCCTTGTGGAAGAGCTGAGGCCTAGATCTCCTGATTCCCAATGGGAGGGGGAAGGAAGAGACCTTACTTGCCTAAGTGCCAGGAAATCAAAGGTCAGTCCCTGGGGATGCCCCCATGTTGGCAGTGAAGTAGAGAAAGATGTTGGTGCATTTACATCTCCTTTGTATCTTGTTGGACTCTCTCCCCAGCCCGGAATTTCAATTCAGTTACATTGTTCCAGCCTCTGCAACTCTGGCCTGCCTCCCCTACAGCCCTTCCCCAGTTGTTCTGTCTCCCCCATCCTGTCCTTGCTGTCTTTGGTCCGCCTCCTCTGCCATAAATGTGGGAGCCAGGGCAGGGTGAGATGGCCCTGGTAGATACTCCTTTAGAGGCCGATCCAGGAGGGAAGCAGATAGAGGTGGTGAGTGGGAGGAAGTTTGGCGTTGATGTAGTCTGTCAGAGCAGGGAAGGGGGACCTCAGACCACTTCAGTTCAACCCTGATGTTCAGATGAGAACTGAGACCCACAGTGCTTGAGGCACACGGTCTTCAGTGTCCTTGGTACCGTCCCCTGAGATTATTTCCAGTTTGCCCTGTACTTATGTTGCGTGTACACGGTTGTTATATGTCGTGCCCACCCCAAGGCCCCATTAGATGGTGAGTTCCTTGAGAACCCTTTTGCCTGCTTTGTATTTCTAGCACTTGGCACATTTTTGTTGTTCAGAAGTGTCAGACTCTTCATGACCCTGTGGACCATACAGTCCATGGGGTTTTCTTGGCAAAGATACTAGAGTGGTTTGCCATTTTCTTCTCCTGTAGATTAAAGCAAATAGGTTAAGTGACTTGCCCAGGGTCACCCAGCTAGTAGGTGTCTGAGGCCAGATTTGAACTCAAGAAGAGGAGTCTTCCTGACTCCAGGACTCTAGTTCTCTTATGTACCAAGCCCCTACTTGGCACATAGTAGGTGCTTAATAAGGGCAGGTGGGTGGCACAGTATATAGAGTGCCAGGACTAGAGTCAGGAAGACTCTTCTTCCTGAGTTAAAATCTGGCCTCAGACACTTTTTAGCTGGGTGACCCTGGGCAAGTCACTTAACCTTGTTTGCCTTAGTTTCTTCATCTGTGAAATGAACTGGAGAAGGAAATGGCCAACAACTCCAGTATCTTTGCCAGGAAAACCCCAAATGGGGTGTTGAAGAGTTGGTCATGACTAAACAAAGATGCTTAGTAAATGCTTGTTGACTTAGCTGGGGCCCAAGGTTCTTTTGCCTGTACCCCATTGTAGCAGGGTCTGGGGCCTTGGGTACGGCCTTTTGACTGAGTGCAAGTTTTACAGAACTAATCCCCTTAATAAAAGGAAGTTTGTGAAGTTTGGATTTAGTGAAAGGGCCCCACTTGAGGACCTAGAAGGCTGAATTTGGCCTTGAGGCCAAAGGTTCCCCATCCCTGATCTAGCCTCTTCCTCCTTAGCTCCCACCCTAGTTGCCCCCACCTGCATTCTCTCTGCTGAGACTCCTTGGCAAAGCTGGCTCTAGCACTGAGGACTTTTTCCTGTTCCTGGTGTTCTGTATATTAGATTTTGTGACCTAGACCAGGACACGAGAATGCCTGTCCTCTGACAGGGGTGGTCACTGGTCTCCCTTTTTGGGTCTGATCCAGGAGAAAGAAGCTGCCCCTTCCTCCCTAGCAGTTGCCTCTTAGCAACTGAGCCTTTAGCTTTGCATAAACAATTAGTTCGTGAAGGCCCAGTGGTACTTGGATGGGCTGGGGGTGGGGAGCTACTGATTGGCCTCTCCTTCAGGGGGCTGGTCTTGCTGGGAAGTATCTGGACTTAGAAAAGTGTTTGGAAATGGTACTTTGTCCTCCCTTCTCCCCATCCTGTCTCCGTCAGCATCCAGGCATTTATTTTGTGCTCCGATTTATAGGAGTCAGGAGACTAGACACTGCCATCCATTAATTATGCAAATCTTTCCTGGCTGCTACTTCTCTCAGGGCCTCAGTTTCCTCTCAGTCATTTCAGTCATGTCGGACTCTCTGTGACCCCATTTGGGGTTTTCTTGGCAAAGATGCTGGAGTGGTTTGCCATTTCCTTCTCCAGTTCATTTTACAGATGAGAAAACTGAGGCAGACAGGGTTAAGTGACCCCATTTGGGGTTTTCTTGGTAAAGATACTGGAGAGGTTTGCCATTTCCTTCTTTGGCTCATTTTACAGATGAGAAAACTGAGGCAGACAGGGTTAAGTCACTTGGCCTAGGGTCACACAGCTAGTAAGTATCCAAGGCTGAATTTGAACTCTGCTTTTCCTCCTCTATAAGATTAGACTAATAAGGTCCCTTCCAGCTTAACCTTCCCAGGAGTCTATGAAATTCTGAGTAGAAGGGTATTTGAGACCATTCTCCTAGTGAGCCTTCCCTTCCTTTGGGGGCTGATTACATAAGTATATTTCACCCTTCTTCCACCTTCTGACAGCTCCAATGGGCCAGTTCTGGAGAGGGGTTTTTGGCTCTTACTGGCAAATGTGTGATTGGCTTTGACTATATAAATGGGAGTGTGAATGTACTTGGCAGTGATATTCTCCCTAATGTAGAATTCCCTGTAGTACCTTCCAGCCTGCTCAGGTATGGCAGACTGGACAGTCCACTATCACCAGCTGCTCATTTCCTGTCTGTAGGACTGATTTAAGACTGAAAGAGACCTTTGAAAGACCATCTAGTCCAGGAGTCTGGGAACGTGTTTTCTTAATATGTTGGTGTCTGTATTACTATATAATTGATTTTCTTTGTAGTCCTATATGTTTAATTTTATACATTTAGAAAGATTATTCTGTGAGAGGGTCTCTAAGGCTTCACCAGACTGCCGAAGGACCCATTTCACAAAAAAAGGTTATGATCTCCTGGATTTAGTCCATTGCTTTTCATGTTGCAGAGAGGACAGTTGAGGCCCTGAGAGGGTAAGCAACTTGCCTGGGGTCACACAGCAGAGCCTGGAGTTGAATCCAGTTCCCTCTGGCTTCAAGTCCAATGCTGTATGCCACCCTGCTGGGAGGAGACCCTGTGAAATGAAATATCCTGAGGGTATACCTGTTGCTCTTTGCCACCCAGTGAATGAGAAGCAAGGCTTTTGTGTTTTGAGTTTTGGGGAAGGGAGAAGAGTGCCTTCTCCTAGGGAAGTGTTCTCTGGGCATTCCCAGCTTGGATTCAGCCCGTCTTTTTCCTTGCCCACAGTACTGGCACAAAGCGTGCTTCCACTGTGAGACCTGCAAGATGACACTGAATATGAAGAACTACAAAGGCTATGAGAAGAAACCCTACTGCAATGCGTGAGTCCAGGGCTCTGGGGAGGGGGGG